TCTACCGAAATTGAAATGAACGTTCAATTGCCGACCTGTGAGACTATGGCCAAGAGCAAGGAGATGCGTTTGCACCCCGATTGCAGTTGGAAGAACGTCAATGTGTACCACTGGATCAAGGTAAGCCTTTTTTTCTTAATCCACTTGGTATCTCGCAACGACTAACATCGTTCTAAGATCGTCATGCGGATTTCCCGCCTCGACCCTGAGGATCCCACTGGTACCAAGCGCCGTCACTTTGAGATCAGCATCGACTCACCATTCACGGTGCTCAACTGTCGCGCCACTCAAGCCAACACCTCCCTTCCCGAGTACTCAGGCCCCGATGTCGGCTTGAACCAAAGCCGCCACACGTCTTGCGGCTGCCCTGACGCTGTCACCATCTCTGGTCCGTCCGAGGGCTCGCCCAATAACCTTTCGACCGGCGCCCTCACCGTAATGGAGGCGCCTGGTAACCTTCCTGCGCCCCCACAAGCCGCCCACCTTCCCTCCTCACCGCAACCTACAACCGGGGGCACCGGTCGGTCGTCACCGCCAAACTCCCAGACGTCGGTCGACCCTCTCGCCGACGTGCACCCCCGACCCATTCACCTACTACGCGTGCCCTCCTACAACCCGCCCGCGTTTGATGCTGAAACGCCCCCACCGCCCGCCGAGAACGACCAGCTCCCGCTGCAGACGCCCCCGCCTCAGTACGATGTTATTGTCGGCACGCCGAGCGTCGACGGCATGGCGGACTACTTTGCCCGGCTCGCAGACTATGGCTACGATGAACCCGAAGAAGATTCTGACTCGGATGAGGGCCCGGCTCGCATCACTGAGCGCGGAGGGCGTGTCAACGTGGCTCATCCTCGCACACCCGGTGGCAGACGCGCTCCTAGCCGCAGCATGGAGATTCAGCGCCCTCCCGTCGAACTGAGAATGGACGCTCTACCTAACCTGAACTTGCGGAGGGATGGTGTCCATCCGCAAATCAACTGAACATAATGCTGTAATATCACAGAAAAAGAACTGTCACAAACTGGAGGAGAGGAGATGATCAGACGAGAAACTTGGACGACGAAGACTTGGAGGGGACTCATTCAAATTCCCTCTTGCATCATGATTACGGATCATTGAGACGACATCTAAAAAACAATTATTCAACGTATCCTCATCAGGATTGGTCGGCGCATTCATTGGGGGGGAAATGGGCTCCGGTTGGGGAATGTGTGTTGTTTGTATGCTCGTTAGATGCGAGCAGTACTGGGAGGAACACAGTCTGGCGTTCTTGTTGTCTTTTTATGGGATATATACCTGGACTCTACGTCTACTGCTCTGTGTGAATATTGATGCCCTGGATATGTACTGGACTTGAAGACAAACACCTTACATCATGCAAACGATTCTCTTTGGTGACAGTGGAACTTGATAAGCTCGCTCGATAATGATTAGCACCGCATCAATTCCGGCGGAATTCTCGTTGGAAACATCTAGGTCACTTGCATGTAAGACTGACCAGCCGCCGAAGGGTGTATATTGAACACAGCGTGGCATGGCACCTGTCAGACCAGTTCAACAGGACCAGGTACTCAATTACTTAGCTTTTCACCTGATCGGCCTGCTTCTCGCCACATCAAGAACTCTACCATCCGAGTGAAATCGGCCCAGTCCCGACCCATCGGCACATGGAATAGTTCACCAACGGCTGTTGGCATTAGAAGATGGGGTGGAACCCCCATAGGACACATGATAAACAAGAGAAAAGGGAACGCTGGGGACTGCCGCAGTTTGAGTTTCTTCAAGGGGTCGGGGGGAAGCACTTGGTAGGGAAGGAGGGGGAGGGGGGCTGCCTGCATAAAAGGGGGCAAAGGACGAAGATCGATTGGTGACTTTTGCCTTTGGGGCACGTGGAGGAAAGTCAAGTCGATTGGCATTTAGGAGGTTACCGGAAAGCGCCGTCCATCAATCGAGAGTTTGACATTGGGGGAATAGGAAAGGGGGAGGGGGTCGCGGTATTCATATTAGAAGCCTACGTTCGAATTCGTTTGGTTGTGAGTCCTATGGGCTATGAGTGAGATGTCGTCATGGATGGGGAGTTATTTGGGAAGGGGTTCCTTGAGAGTCCAGAGATCCTGGTCCCGTGCTCAAAATGGAATGGTAGAGAGCATGTATATGAACGAAGCTGCCAACGTGACGAGTATTCTTTTTGACGAGCGGCAAGCGAAACCGTAGCCGGAACTTTAATGTTATTCAGTTTACTGTCTATGGAAAGGGGGGGGGGGGCAAACTTCTTTTTCAGCTGATGGCGGGGTGGCGTTTGTTTCATGAGCGGGAGGGAGTGTGACCTCACCGCGGATACGGGGTTTTGTAAAAAGTTCAGTAAATAATTGAAGGATTGGTTTGCGAAAAGCTGAGGGACACCGGGTTTGACAAGGTTCACGTTTGCGAAAAGCATCTATCATGGTAGGTCACTTTTGGATTATGATTGCCGGTAGAAAGAAGGGCTTCTGAGTTTTGGAAGAAGAAGGAAGAAATAGGTGTTGTCAATGGCATTGACGGGAACGCTCGTGCGGACGGCGGGAACGGAATTCGTGGGAGGGGGGCTTCTTACTTTTGAATGGGGATTTGGGATTGGGTTTTCCGATGGAGGTGAGATAGAGGGATTTGGATACCGGGCAGTGTGTGTGGAGGGTCTTCTGCTTGGAGCTGGTCCAGGCTTTTCTGGAAGAGAGTTTGAGAAGGATCAAACGAGTTTGCGGGTGCCGTTCAGAGCTGCAATGCCGGGATAAGATTTGGAGTTGTTGGAGTTGAATGGAGGAAGACGGCAACAGAGGAGGTCATAACTCGAGGTCGCCTATGGGTGAGGATCACGATCGTTGATTTGGTAAGTAGGGTGTTGTCCTGTGAATAACTTCAACCTCGATGGCGGGAGAACGAGCTAGAATGCCATACAATCTGCTGATTGATTGTGTTGAAGAAGAGACTTCAGCGCTAGGAACGTGGTCACGACTTGGTCACGACGAGAGGCTGGAACAAGGGAAAAGCAAAGCGACATTTTCGTCTGATAATTATAACCAACCAACGACGTGCTTCTAGAGAAGACCGCTTACTCAGATCTCTAGAGAACCTTGGCTCATGGTTGGTCAGGAGTTGAGAAACCACATGTGTTGTGGCCTAGAATTGAGGCAGTGATATGGACAGGAGGCAGTGTTGTTCCTTGACAGGCTTCGTTCCCTGACTTTGACGTAGCAGAACGTCTAGACTATAGACCCTCAAGGATATAGATTGTTTGTAGGAACGATTTACACTTGCCGAGTTTGTGGCAGGACGCGTGTTTCGTGACTGGCTCCAGGTTGGGCGAAACTCGACGTAGGAATTTCGAGGCTAGACTCAGAATAAGAACTAGGGAGTTGATAACAGAATACGGGGGTGGGAATGAGATTGTGGCACTTGGGGTGATGTCGTGCGGATAATATGGATAAAATGCTTGAGTACCTAGTTCGAACATATGTAGACTACTTCACTTTACCTTACTTAGGGGAGGGCGGTTGTTGCACGACGACTTCCCTTGACACGGTGTCTTCCTTTCCCTGAACTGAAAGTTGAAGAAATGTTCATCAGCGCGCGATGGGTGCTCGTACCGTGGCTAGAGACCAGAAGTCGATGGGCTCCATTGACAAGTCCTCCCAAGAACACATACTTGACACCCATGAAAGTAGGAGACGGTCGTTTGTTTACTCAGGAAAATCACTCGAGAAAAGGTCCGTGACGCTGAAAAAGTTATCATCTAGGTATATACTCTTATATACGGGCAGCCAGCCAGCAGTACCTTACTTGTGTGAGCAGAGGATTGATAGGTCCAGTCTGTCAAGCAATATGCAGCAGATTGTGCGTGGTGGTCTGTTTACATTTCTAAGAATACCACCGGGGCAGAAAGATCAGTCAAGGGATTCGTGTAGAAGTGCATGAACTTTGCCTCAAGCCCATAGAGACTTAGAGGGAATGCAGCATCTGGCAGTACTCTGAATGTTTCCCCATGCTCACCTGCTGGACTGCGTATCAGGCTTACGGTTGCTTCCAGAATACAGAGTCCAGGAAAGCTTCTGAAGTGTTTATCAGCCACCCAAAGTTACCAGGGTCGAGGGCTTAACTTTGTAGAGCTGGAGTACTTCAGGTATGAGCAGAAGTTATGGCTGCATCTATGATAATCTGAAGACTAGGTACTTAAATTAAAGACTTCCTCGAAACATAAGCTGCTCTATCATGGCGAGACGAGTAGTCCCACTTCTCAAAAGCAAGGCGTAACGTCTTTCCTCCCAGTGTGTAAGGAACATCATACTAGAGCTCGTGAGTCTACAAATTCTTCGACATAGAGTCAGCTACTACAGAGTCAAAGGTGGAGGAAAATGAAGACATCTATGTCGATGCAACTAGTGCATGACAGTCTACAGCAACTATAGCCTTCCTATCTGAGTGGATTTTAGCTCAAGGTTTTGCGCTTGCACGATTCCCACTTTAAGAAACTTCTCTCACAGTGCTTGGAATCGCCTCTTTAAAAAAGCTGTCCGTTCGGAAAGGCCTCGCGAGTAAGGGGTCGGCAGCTTCCGTCCTGATCGGGGTCAATTGCACCGGAACTGACTTGAAATGGCAACCTCACGGCTGGTAAATGATCACCATTGTCAGTCCCGAAGTAGGTCTGGTTCACTGATTAGAAATCGTCTGCTCACTATAGAGGGTTTTGTGTCAAGTGGTTATGCCGTGTCAGTATAGTCAAGGACTCTGAAGACTAACATGCAGTTCTGCCCGCGACCCCGCATCCATGCATATCTATGACTAGTTGGGCCTGAAGGTTTCTCTTGAGCGGGGAATGAGACGAACTACTGCCCTCACAAGCAGCCTTATCATGACTGAGTCATTCCTCAATTCACGTAGATAATGCCTTGCATCCCCTCTCAAGTGTCGTTCTCTCTTCTTTGTCGATATCAGCTCTTCTCTGCGCGTACAATTTTGGCTTCATTATGGATCACGGCCTTTCAACTCGGGGCAGCATCGCAGCCAAGCCGGACGATGGCATGCTTCTATGGAAGATTGTCCAGGACCTCTGGGACCCGGAAACGAATCCGAAGGGCTACGTGAGCCTGGGCATCGCGGAAAACACTCTCATGCACGATAGATTGTCGAAGCATATTCACGAGAACCTAGCAGTTCCGAACCACTCGTTCACGTACGGCGATGGCATGACCGGCTCGAAGCGTCTGAAGGTATCACTCGCGCGCTTCCTCACAGAGCGACTACACCCAGTAACGGCCATCGAAGCGCAACATGTCTCCGTCACCAATGGTTGCAGTTCGGCAATAGAACATCTTTGCTGGGCGTTGGGCAACCCTGGCGAAGGCTTCCTTCTCGGCCAACCCCACTATGGAGCTTTCCTTCCCGATGTTGAGTATCGAACGGGCTGCAAGCTCGTGCAGGTTCCTTTTCGCGAGGTTGACCCTTTCGGTTTGGATGCGGTCCGGAAATATGAGGAAGCGTTGCTGTCCGCTAGGGAAAAGGGGATCAAGATTGCCGCCCTCATCATATGTCACCCTCACAACCCTCTCGGACGTTGTTATCCGCGGGAGACCATTGTCGACTTGATGCGGCTGTGCCAAAAGTACGACATGCACCTCATCAGTGACGAGATATACGCGCTCTCCGTCTGGAAGAACACAATCGATACGCAACCAGCGCCGGTACCTTTCGAGTCTTGCCTCTCCATTAGTACGACAGATATTATGGACGCCCATCGACTGCATGTTCTCTGGGGCATGTCCAAAGACTTCGGCGCCAACGGTATCAGACTTGGCGCCATCATTTCACAGCACAATTCGTCTTTCCATAGCTCGTTGACCCCAGTCGGTATCTACAGCTCACCTTCTGGCCTTACGGACCACGCAACGGCCAACATTCTCGATGATCGCGAATGGGTGAATGGCTACCTCGATGAGAATCAGCGCAAGCTCCAAGAAAACTTTGAGCTGGTGGCCCACTGGGTCACAGAGAACGGGATCACATACGCACCTGGGGCAAACGCTGCATTCTTTCTGTGGGTTGATCTGGGCAAAGCCTACCGTGAACGACGGCCGGGTGTAGATTTTGAGGATATCAGCACAGAGGTGATGCGCGCGTTGCTTGACAAGAAGGTGTTTTTGGCATCAGGAAAGCAGTTTGGCGCCGAGCAGCCGGGGTGGTTCCGGATCGTGTTTTCCAACAGGAAGGAATTGCTACTTGAAGGCCTCAAACGAGTTGCTGCTGCGTTAAACCACTGAGCGTGATGTAATATCATTTGCTCGGGTTCTAACTTTGCTTTGCATAGGCGCATAGAGATGGCAATGGGCCTCAGGTGCTTGGTTTTTCCTCGGACAAATACTACTTCTGATAACTGATATTAGCTGCTTATCATGGAGAGAAGGTTTGCGCAAGATGATTCTCATAGAATTTCTCCTACCAAAACACCAAGCTTAAATGATCCTTGCGTTGATCATCAAAAGCCCCTGCACAATGATAAGATCATGCAGCACGCAGCATGGGTAACGACCAGATAAAGCTGTGAATGATATTCTCCCTTACCTCATCGTTCAGTTGCCTTGGTTCCACCGTGCCATTCTAGTTATCACGCTCGAGGCTTTCTTATGTAGCACAGCCCTGTGGTGTTTACCAGGGGAAATCATCCGGCGGTTGGTTGTCGGTTACGTACTGTGATTCTTGACTCGCTTAGCGTTCCTGCTGTTGTGGTAGCATGGTACGGACAACCGACGCGCGGTGCGGAATGCGCGGGCGCCGTTGAGTGCTGCGGGTTGAAATCAAGCTCTCTGCATTTGATCATTGAACATTGAACAAGAAGTATCGCGTGCCTTGCCAAACTCCCATTTGCAATGATGAGTGGATTGAAGACTTCAAGTACCACAGTCGGCGTGGGCGACAACTTACATAAGAAAGGAATGGGTCAGTTTACTTGCTTATTCTTCGGATAGAGGTAGCCCCTGAGATGTCACAGTGAGACATTGAACGTTCACGGATGTATTTTGACCATTTCTTCTTCCAAGATGACCAATACCCAGACGGATTCGTTAAGTAATGAGAATAAGGAAACGGCACAGCTACCAACTTTGAAGACACGCAAATGCCTGTATTGCACGGTGTTCGAGGCCGGCAGTGTCTGGATAGTTTTACCAATTGCGGTAAGGCCTCGTTCTTCTAGCTGGGCTGCAGGGATCCTCGATCGCCATCAACCCACATCTGCTTAATGCCTCCAGACATTGGCACAAGATCCCTGCGAGCCCGCGCGGTTCCCACCGGCGTGCTAGTAATGCCCAGTCCTGCGTCAATATCATGTGTTGATTTTATTTAGGGTGTTCTCGGCGTATGCGCTTCGTAGCAGACTTAGATCTCTGACTACATCACCGATGAGGGCAACAGCTTTAGCCTTTACTCCAGATGTTTACTAGTATCACTCAGTTCCCGTCATCACAAGTCGGAACCGCATAGCCTATGCAGAAGAATCAATTATGTACTAGAAAGAGAGGGCTTACCGCTACGGTGTAGCCGACATCTTTCTCACTTCGCTCATACCGATGACATAGTACACCGTTGCAACGGCACACTAAGAGAGTGTGGCCATATGTTAAGGGGCGATGTGACCTAAAGCTGCGTGGACCCCACGTCTGGACAATGGTCATAATAAGCGTAACCGAGAAAACATACATTGCGAATCCATGCTAAAGAGGGCTGAGTGGTTACCTTCATCCGAACGCTGGGTGTTAGCTCGGCCCGGGGTGCAGTGACGTTGGGAAGGGGTAGGCAGTCTGGCCGGGATACCAACGATCTGGATCGCGTCATGTATATTCACCTTACCAAACTTGGAAGAAAACAGCCAACGTCAGTCTACATGAGTCGTCTATTGTGGAGTTCGGAACGTGAGGCCTGCTCGGCTCTCGGAACGCAGTACACGATGAGCCCCTGATACCAATACATCCAGTCTCATGGACTGAAAATATAAGTAAGTAGTATTTGCCGAATGGAAAACACACTTAAACACCACCTCAAAATCACCGTCACTCTTTTGTACACAAAGCCAATTGAGGTCCCAATTCAAAATGGTTCTGCCCACATTCGTTCTTTCGGCTGTTCTGGCCACGTCTGTTGCAGCCTACGATACCCTCCTCAACTTTCACGGTGCCCCCGAAGTCGAAACCCGCACCATTGATGAGATTCACAAGGCTGCTGTCGCTGAAGGTGGTGTCGTCACTCTTTGGCACGGAGGTGATGAGAAGACTCAACAGGATGCTCTGAAGGAAGCTTTCGAGAAGCGCTTCCCCGGAATGACCCTTAACCTCACTGTCGACATCTCCAAATATATCGATGGCGACCTCGACCGCCAGCTGTCGCAAGGCAACGTTTACGTTGACAGCGTCATTCTTCAGACCCTTCAAGACTATCCCAGATGGGATCAGGAAGGTGCTTTGCTGCGGTACAAGCCGTTGGACTTTGACAAGATCCACCCTGGCTTCCGTGATGTATGGGCATCGTGGTATGCGGTTGTTGTGTTTGGTTGGACCAACATTTGGAACACCGAAAAGGTTTCCGAAGGCCCCGTCGAGTACTCGGACTTCTTGAAGCCTGAGTACAAGGACAAGTTGGTCTTTACCTACCCGAATGACGATGATGCCGTTCTTTATGCGTTCGACCTGGCGTAAGCAACAACCTCTGATAAACACCTCTTCATGTGTAAATTCTAATTGGAAGCAGTATGCAGCAGAACGGATACAGCTGGTTCGAGAACCTCCTCGCCCAAAACCCTCGCTGGGTCCGCGGCACTGCTACCCCGACCACCGTCATGGGTCAGGCCAATAACTCATATGCCGTTACCTTCACCGGCGCTCTTGGACTGGCACCCACTGCCCCCTTTAACGTTTCCATCCCCAAGAATGGTTTCTTCGTCACCTGGGGCCAGCGCGCTGCGATTCTCAAGGACGCTCCCCACAAGGAGGGAGCGAAGCTTCTTCACAACTTCTTGCTCAGCGAGGAGTATCAGAGCCCCAACAACACCGGCATGTGGAGCGTCCGCAAGGACATTCCTGCCCCTGCTGGTTTTCCGGAACTGATGGATGTCAACTCTACCAACCCGATTGACTTTGAGCGTTTCATGGCGGATCGTGAGCGTGTTGAGAGACTGAAGCTTTTCTTCGAGAGCAAGATTGGCACCGCACAAGGACTCAGCCCCTTGGTTGACGATTTGTGAACATGCGACTGCAGATATAGCGCACATCATGTTATTATTCTATTCAGATGACAAGAGAAAAAGAGCCCTTAGATTGCTGGAAGTTGTAGTTCTTTGAATGGCCACCACCTGTCTGCCGTCTTAGTCTATGCCTCCTCCCAAACCAGCACATACGACCATACCCATTGGAAAATTCGGGATCCCGTCCGCTCTCCCATAGACAAGCCACTGAGGGCCGGATTAGTAGTTGGGTCGGTGACGACCAGCGAATACCTGGTGTTGTATGTTTTTTGTTGAATTTGTGACGAGATTTTTATATCGTGAAATTTTGGAGTTTTGGTGGGCCACGCTTAAACCTAACACCACATAGAATTGACAAACCAAAACCTTTTTGGTCTGATGCGACCTGTTGAGATCATTGCTTTCTGCTCCCATATTTGACTTATTTCATAGGTCAGTAAAAATAATATTACTATGCTATGAGGGAAGGCATTCGCCAAGACTTTGAGATGACCTCAAATCTGGGCCGACGCTTCGGCTCCAACCATATTACCCAGCTCTTCTATACGTGCCGCATGCGATGAAGCAATAGATAGGCTGAGTTATCGCAAATAGAAAAGGAGGCAGACATAGACTCTTTCAAAGCAGAATTCAGAGTTCCCACTTCAAATGGTCATAATTATAGCAAGGCTCTTCGGAGATATGTAATCAACAATACGCCATCGCATCATCGCAAGAAGAACACATACGACACAAGACTCAATTCGATTCATTATATCGTTCTAATGTTTTACTGCAAAGGTCTTCAAGTTAGTTCAAAAAGGAACCAAGAAAAAGTGCCCTTATGCCGTGCCTTCCATGTTGCAGGTTGCTTTTATTACCGCCCTGGCAGGAACACGCCTGACGAGAACCTCTTTGGCCGCTGAGCCTCAATGGCATTATCTTGATAGGCCAATGTCTTCATGAGCTTTCCCAACACAATCTATCTCAGTGAGATATACAGTGTGAAAATCATTTCTGCTACAAAAGACTCTACTTCACCAAGACATTCGACAGCAACCAAGTCATCCTCCCTTGTGTCCAAGGCTAGGCTGACTCCGTGTCGGGTGATGTGAAGCCGAGGGACGAGCAGTCTGTATAACCTCAACTAGAGTCTGTGTAACTTGAAGCATTGTTTTTGGGTTAAGACAGTCTAGACCTTTCATTCTCATTGCCTCACTGCGAGCAGCCAAGAAATCATGTCGCCACCAAAAAGGACTTGGCGACACACAACTTTATCACCCTTACAGCAATAGTGTATATGCTGCCAAGAGCTATGTACCTCCCAGACACCATCGATGGAATGGAAAGGTTGGAAGAAGTTCCACATGCGCGGCGACTTGTTGGGTACATGGGCTTGGAGCTCGGGACTGGGCCATGGCTCGGCACTTCAAAGAAGGTATGTGTCCAGACTGCCGAGCTGATCACTCGATCCCCTCGGCCCGGCTAGTCGGATGACTTCACGCGACTCTATCACACGCCGGAAGCAATGCTGACCCCTTACAGCACCCCTCTCATCCGTTAAACACATTGTCTGGGCCCGATGTTAAGGATGCAAGGAATAGGTTCTGTGGCTTGCTGAAAGATCAACCCCCCCTCCCCCCAATGTGATATGCCATGAAGCGTGGTCAACGTATCTAGGGAAAGGATGACTCAACGTCATTTGTGTGCCTATGAAATCAAAATGACCAATCGTCTTGTGATTCGCCATGACACCTAGGCCGGAAGCATGCAAAGGGAACCGGGGACGTGTCTTACAGACCGGCGGGAGGCAACATCCAGCACCACGGAGATGGAAGGTGCTCCGTCTTTGAGAACTATTGATCTTCGTTTTGCACTTTCATCCTCTTGAGACTGTCTCAGCGGTTGAACAAGCAGTGTGATCTTCCTTCTCGAGGCACAAGAATCGGACAGAGGGGAAGAGAGTGAGATCCTCAACCAATTCTTGAGAATGACATCACAGTATGAGCACCGGAACATGAATCATTGCATAATCAAAGGAGTAGTCGATTTTGTGCACAACTAGTTGGAGCTGGAACACATGGCCACGTTAACATTCATTGGTGGTAGAGAAGCTGGAGAGACGCGCTGCACGCGCGCCAAGAGCGCATCGTTAAGGCCGTGAAGTTTAGTCCAATTCAGTCTTCCGGTGGCTTGAAGCACACCATGAGCAATGGAGGTAGCAACGAGGCGTCAAATTAACCATAGCCCCCACATCAAAAGGGTAAGAGTTGAGAACTTCTGACGCTCTGTCACACAGCTAACGTCTCTAGTCAGAATGCTTCTGTAATGTCTTCTCCTGATTTGAATTATCCCAAGTAAATCGACCTGAGTCTAAACAAAACAATACGGAGTTTGGATTGAAAACGTTATTTCACAACTTGAACTTGCCGATTGAAGATGAACACGAAGTTAAGAAACGTCCACAGATCGGGCCGCATTTCGGCACTACGATCGGAATGCAATCTCTGGGGCGGTTGAGTCATCTCGTTCAGTTGCCTAGCACGCCCATGACATGGACTTTCCTCTCCACAATGTACGGCCGCAAACGTTGTCTCGGACAGTGCCATTGACGGAATCTCCCTTAGGTAATTGCTCAGGACTCGTCGTCCCGCTACGGAACAAGCTCAGTCCGATGATCGAAGCCGGCTCGACCACCCCGCTGTCGATGAATGCGGCCCGCTGGGAACTATCCGCTGACATATTTCCCGTGAGCCTAGCCTGCCCGCCAAGCCACGACTAGGCTGGATCTAGCTCTTGTCACTATTGCCTAATAGCCAGCTCCCATAACGTCTAAGTTGGCTCGAGCTTCATGAAAGGGTTGCTCCCGTTGAATGTGGGGTTAGAGGCTGTTTTGAACAGCACTGATTCGTGGATCCTAAATGGTCTTAGACAACCACCATCGTCCACGGGAAACTCCAGTAGACCCTGAGACATCTGAGGCCCAACCACATCCACTTCCGCCACATGCGGTAACAAATTGAAAGAGAAATCAACAAACTGTCCGTTCCCAGCTGTCTGCAAGGGAACTGAGGTCTTTTGGGGAGGAAACTGGAAATGGGGCTCTCCGGGAATGACAGCAGAGGAGACGCCTCACCCGCTCAGCATTCCTGGGAGGAAGATTCCGTACGACTTGTGTGTCTTACTGGGCTTTCAGACTCCTTTGACTCTCTTCAGCTGGCGCCCGGGCGGGAGTGTCTCGCCGCCCAGAGGCGTTTCCAAAGAGACTCTGTGTAGGTTTTCTTTGGCTATGCGGGAGCGTTGCCGTGTCGTCATATCACACCGATGGACACTACCATCACTGCAAGCCTTGCCCCGTTACACAGAACATCGGACAGTGAAAACTTCTCATCTTAACACAGGAATGATTTGCAAGATGACGGGGCAGATCATCACCTCATCTCAGACAGGCACAAGCATCGGACCCGGCGCCCGGTGCACCTCGAGAAGACGATGGAAGGCTCCGTTACCATGGTAAGAGTTCAAAGATGTATGCCGAATCCACCATCTCGATGCCGCGCGGTAGTTCAGCCCGGGAAAGCCAAGATGCCTCGACGTTCTTGGGGTCTAGCTTGGCGCCTTGGCGGCGCCTGACATCAAATTGAGACAAGCGGTAATCATTTCGAAGACTTTACCTGCTGATTGAAGCTCTTGGAGGAGATGGACGAGGACAGTGGGATGCCGAGGAACGCGGCCCCTTCTAGATCAGCCCAGGCCTCCGACGTCAAGATCGGGACCCATCCCTTAGCGTGCCTCCACCAGTTCGTCCGTCCGCCTCGAGCCTTACGGAGGGGTTCTTGTTGTCTCGTCATTTCTCTGCAGACGGAAAAGAGGCAATCCCTTGCAGTTGATGCTCGGGAATGATATCTTGTTGACCCACAAAGAAGAAGAGCGTTGTGCAACTCGAAATAGCCGGGTCTTCGGATGGAGCTCCTAGTTCGCGGAAGAAGCCATGCCCAGCACGCCACCCTGCGCTTACCCACCGCCTCTGGTAGAGTGATGCTCGTTTTCAGACATTTTGTGAACTTCTCAGCATAGAACCTCCAAAACGTTGATATTATGGGTATCGTGGGCTCGAAGACAGCATCCCAGTTTTCTATAAGAGGCGTCAACGCCTCCCGTCTTGTCATAATTCTCTTCTCCCTCATCAGCTCACACAGCATCTCAACAACCAACACTCAGACACAACCCTCTGAACACTTCTCTTCACCACTACCATCTTGATAACGCATTCTATCCGCTTCATACCAACCGCCAACATGCAGTCCAAGATCTTCACCGCCGCGCTCGCCGCCTTCTCCTTCGCTTCAGTCCAGGGAGCCGTCCTTCCTCGCGCCACCATCACTCCTGGCACCATTGTCACTCCTGGCGTTTCCTTCAACCCTGCCGAGCTTGGAGCCAACGAGTTGGCTTTCCGCACTCTCCAGGTTCTCACCGGCCAGATTGCCCAGACCACCGCTCTTGCCAACAGCCTTGCCCTTCAGGCCACCGGCACTGCGACAGCTGTAAGACTATTACATCTCAAAGTTGACAAGATATACATGAAACTAACCTCGACACTTAGGCCGCTGATCAGGTCCAAGCCGTTGTTGCTCAGCTGAGCTCCAACGCCGCTGCCATCGCTGCCAACGTCGCTAGCATTGTCGCTGCCGCTCCCACCGCGATCCCTCCTGTTCCCAGCCCTACTGCCCCTGCCACTCCCGATGTTGGTGGCCAGGCTGAAGCTGTAAGATCAATCATCCAATTCCACATTGTTCATCACTAACACATCTATCATAGCTCGTCCGCCAAGCTCAGGCCCTCGCCAGAGCCCTGACTGCTCAGATCGCCGCTCTCCAGGCACAGGTCACCGCCAACGCTGGAACCGTCGCCGGAGTTGCCCAGAACGTAATCCTCCTCCCTGCCTTGGCTCAGGCCCAGGCCGCCGCCGCTACCACACTCGCCACCATCGGAACCGCCAGCAACCTTGCTCTCACTACTGCTGCCACTCTGACCGCCAACGCCCAGGCTATCGTCGACCGCGTCCGCAACGCCCAGGTCAAGCTCAACCCTGTCCTCGTCATCGGCGCCACCCCCGATGTCCAGTTTTAAAGAGCTCAATAACTCTTTACAATACTCTATTGCCCGGTCTTTCGATGACAACTCACCTTAGTCGGTCAACAGCTTGAGCAAGACTCGCAGAACTTTCAACAATCGCAGCCGAGTATGAAATTTGGAGGATGATAATACGAAAAGGGGGGATTGAATTTACCATTATTATGGGATAATAACGATCGCAAAGTCTTTAAACAAGACCTACTACGCTCCTTGACGGATGGCTTCTGAATAATTAGTAATATTTTATCTAGCGGTAGGACTATCTTTAATATGCAATAATCAAGATGGTACCCAAAAAACAAAGATCCTGGTTCCCAACGTCACAGTGACAATTGAGTTGTTTAAACCAAGACTTTAATCCTCTCTCTAACATTGACGTCTTTTATGGGGAAGTCTTTAGTTGAGTCTTTTAGCCTCCCTAGCCAGGAAAAGAAGAAGCTTTCAGCTAACGACGTCACTCAAGTGCTAGGCATCCCATGCGTTCTGCACTTCCGGCGAGACCTATCCATTTGCACCAAAAGAACAGCCTCAGCAAACCTGGCAGTTGTCAAGATGTCCCCTTATTTTGTGGAACGGTGTTGTGAATAAGGTGGTATGCTTGGAAGCGTAAAGATGGTGTGTTTCGCGTAAACAAATCGCCTGCCGGCGTAAGGCCAGAAATGGTCGTAAGTGGATCCTCCGAAGCACCGGAAATTCAGGGGCGGAGCGGGGCAAGCTCCGTTTTAACCGCTTTTGTTCGGATGGCACAATGTGACATGCATGAGCTGGTTCCGTTTGGCCTGTTTCTGTCCTGCTCATGAGTAGAAAGCTTTCTGTCGCCTTCAGGTGAAGACCACGAGGCCACAGGCTGGCCCATGTTCAACTCTTTTGCACCCGCGCGCCAGCACTATCCCTGATGCGACCGGTGGGATCCCCAGAACACATCAGGAGATCCTCTCCTGGCTCTACAGTCTGAACCCCTTTCATCTTTCGGCCGAACGAAGCGAAGTCTTCTAGCCAATGCACTGATTCTCCGTTGCAGGGGATAGAGGCTCCCGGATCGTCGGCTACTATGGTTCAAGCCTCCAGCATTAGGTAGATTGGGGCGGGATGGAAGCGAAGAGGGGCGAGAGGAAAGGGTCAAGGGAACGAACATTGATAAACGACTCGATTCCTGCCAATATGTGCAATGGCTTAGCTTTGAATTCTCTTTCGTCGTCTTTTGCCATTCACTTCCATTCTTTTCTTGTTACCTTGACGTAACTTTCCACGTTCTCTTTACCAGTCTCTCTCTACCAGTCTCTCATTTCCATTATCCTCGCCAACATGCGTTTCTCAACCATCACAGCAGCCGGCCTGCTCGCCTCCGGCGTCAGCGCCAACCTGCACGAGCTCGCCGTTGCGGCCGGCAAGAAGTACTTTGGCACGGCCACGGACAACTCTGAGCTCACCGACACGGCCTACGTCGAGATCCTGAAGGACGCAAAGATGTTCGGCCAGGTTACCCCTGGTAACGGCCAGAAGTGGCAGTTCACCGAGAAGAGCCAGGGAGTCTTCAGCTACACCTCTGGCGACGAGATCGCCGACTTCGCCAAGACCAACAGCAAGCTTCTCCGCTGCCACACCCTCGTCTGGCACTCTCAGCTCCCTACCTGGGTGTCTTCCGGCACCTGGACTAAGGAGCAGCTGACCTCCATCATCGACACTCACATCTCCAACGTCGCTGGCCACTACAAGGGTCAGTGCTACGCATGGGACGTCGTTAATGAAGCCCTCAACGAAGACGGTACCTACCGCGACAGCGTCTTCTATAAGGTTCTCGGAACCGACTTCATCCCCATCGCCTTCAAGGCCGCCGCTGCCGCCGATGCGGACGCTAAGCTCTACTACAACGACTACAACATTGAGCTGGCCGGTAACAAGCAGAAGGAGGTTCTGAACATCATCAAGAATATCAAGGACTCTGGTGCCCGCATCGACGGTCTCGGTCTCCAGGCCCATCTCATCGTCGGTAGCGCCGGTTCCCGCTCTGCTCTGAGCGCCGTCCTCCAGTCCTACGTCGACGCTGGTGTCACCGAGGTCGCCTACACCGAGCTCGACATCCGCCACAAGGCCATTCCCGCCGACACTGCCGCCCAGGAACAGCAAGCCACCGACTACGTCAGCGTTGTCGGCGCCTGCTTGGACATCGCCGAGTGTGTTGGTGTCACCATCTGGGACTACACCGACAAGTACTCATGGATTCCCTCCGTCTTCCCCGGCACTGGCGAGGCCCTCCCCTGGGACAAGGACCTTAAGCCTAAGCCTGCCTACACCAGCATCTCCAGCCTCCTCGCCGCCGCTGGCAAGGGCGGTGCTGCTCCTGCCACCTCTGCTCCCGCAGTTGCCACCAGCGCCGCCGCTGCCGTCACCACTTCCGCTGCCGCCGCTGCCTCTACCTCCGAGTCTGCTGCTGCCGAGCCCTCCGTCCCTGCTACCGAGCCTTCCGTCCCCGAGAGCTCTGCCCCTGCTGCGCCGGTCACCACCCCCAAGGCTAGCGTTCCTGCTGCGACTCCCGCGCCTGCTACTACCCTCAGCACTGTCGTGAAGAGCAAGTGCGGCGGTGGTGCCACTGCCGAGGCCGTTTCCAGCGCTCCTGCGGCTGCTGCCACTGGCGGTGCCGCTCGCTGGGCTCAGTGCGGTGGCAACGGGTTCACTGGCTCTACTACCTGCCAGTCTGGCCTCACCTGCCAGAAGCAGAACGACTACTACAGCCAGTGCGTTTAGACGAAGGTTTTGCATGCAGCCGTGGAAGAGGAAGAGTGAGACATGAAGTGGATTGCTCAGGATAGCATCCCATTGAGACAGTAGAGGATTCGTGTACATATCTTTGAAGCCAATAGATACATATACTTCACATGCGTTGATCCAAAGATTACTACTTCGTGATGTACGATCCCATCCAATTCGGGAAGCTAAAGTCCACGCCTGAAAATGGCAGGCTCTCGCTGAAGTTTACTTTATGTATGCGGGGACTGGAAAACAGAGAACTTCATACCGATTTAGTTGGAAATGTTCCGTATTACGCGGAACGTTGATAAAAAAAAAGGACACAGAGGTCCTTACCGGATGACTCACTTCAAGAGTCTAATAGTACGCGTAGAACCCCCGCCGAATACGTCATGTTAAAAAGAAGACTGAATTGAAGACAGTATTTAAGTCAAGTCCATGTGGAAACGTATTTCATGCACGAAGATACCATCTACCTCACCTCCTTGAATCAGTCTTGATTCTTTCAACCACCCCACCCGGCGGCCCCCTGGTACTTGATTGCTACCTACTGAGTACGGTTCATACTTAGAACACGTCAATTCTAGGCACCAGCCGCACTGCCACTTTTGCTACCAAACATTCAGTAAATTCGACTGTTTATTTGTACAAATAATATGTCGGATCCCCTGACAAGTTCCAGTTATGGCCTCAACTGTCCATCCTCGAGAACCCAAAAAGGAAGCGGCGCGACCTGAAGCAACAATGGATCGCGTCGACGCGGCTAAAGTCAAAGAAGAACAAAATCCCTCCGCAGACCCGTCAGTCCCGGGTTTTCCTTTCGGACAGCTCTCTTATGACCTTCAATACGAAGTGCTCCGCTTCTGCGACTACCCTTCCGCAACTCTACTAACATCCACAAACCGGCATTTTTACAAGGCACTCCGTCCAAAAATAGAGTATGCGGTCCCCGCACCCGAACGACTGGAATCAATCCAAAAGGTTGACCTAGACAATCGAAATGAGTTTTGGGCTTGCTACAAATGCCTGAAAGTCTTTCCGAGGTCCAACTTCGGGGATAGCCATACAAATACGAAGAAAACCAGACAGCAGCGGGCACACACTCAAACGTTTCGAAAAGCGCGCCGCTGTTGGACTTGCGCTATCGAGAGCAACTACTATGGGGACCTACAACCTGTCAAAAAGGACGGAGTCTCGTATTTCCCTTGTCATGGCTGTGGATTCCTTGGTACAGAGTTCAATAGGTGTCGGGGCGATCGCGTGTCAGGCGTTATCGTCAATAGACAGTGCCACAAGGACAAGGAACTCTCGCCTTTAGAACGTCTTTCAGGGGCAATTCTACGACAAATCATTGGCCACTTGGATTATCTCGACACCATCCACCTACGCATGGCAAGTTGCTCGATGATGCATCAAGTCAAGCTTGACTGGGTGGCTATTCACAAGCGCTTTGCCTTTGTCTTAACAAGAGAAGCGCCTCTGATTGAGTTGGTATACAAAGAGATATCCAGAAGTTTAGATGAAAGTCCCAGCCAAGAATTGGGGGAGATGTTTGAGAAGAAATACCCATACCCTTGCTACAGCTGTTTCAAGGTCAAACCTGCTGCCAAATTCCTTGGCAAGACACTACAGTTTGCAGAGGAAGAGCCAAATCGCTTCTGGCAGCGCCGATGTCGCCATTGTTGCACGCTTGCGGCTGGCCAGCCCGAGATAGTAGATGAGTGGCATAGGCGTCACCTGTGCTCCGATTGCGGGATGGTGAGAGTCGAGGGGGAAGCTTGCCTCGGTTGCCTGGAGACCTCGGATGCTCGCTAAAGTGGACATGTAACCACGATGATAAGTCGGAGTTTGACTGTTAAATACTAAGTAACAGTAATATCAGAAACTGAAATGATTCGATCGTCAGAGAAAACGAAGCCTTCGAGTAATCGACGTGACTTAATATCTACTTTATTGGACACAGTTCCCGAAAACACACAACTCGTCTGGCCTAGACGTGAAATGTTGAAAATTCAATGCCAACCCAACTTCGACTTATATCGTTCCATTCATCATCGCTCCGCTTATGACTGAGGCAGATTTGGCGAGTGCATCGGGCTCCCGTAACTTTCATGCCGGTGCCCATGTCCGTGTTGGTGACTAGGAGCCGGTGAGTCCCGGCCCTGTTGATGATGCTGCTGGTCATATGGCGAAGGCGATCCCATCTCGCTTCTCGCCACGGCTGCTGAGGCATCCAGTTCAGAGTATCGATGAATGTTGCTTTGGTGATACTCTGAGCCCGGCGACATTGTTGGTGGCGGCGATGTGCTGTACGGAGGCTTGTACCCTGTTGGTGGTGAGGTTGCTGCATACGAACTCGTTGCGCCGGTATATTGCGGTTCCATCGGTTGGCTCGGGGCTTCTGCCTTTTCGGCCAATTCTTTCTTTAGCTTCTTGTTTTGGTTCCAGAGCCAAAAGGTTGATACTAGGCCGGCCAAAAGACAAACACCGGTGACGACAGCAAGACCAATGGTGGCGCCTTTGAATGCCGATCCATCATCTGTAGTTCCATCGCTGTTCGTGGTGTTCGCTGTGCATACAGCCTCCTGAGTTGCGATTGTAAACGCTTCACTGGTACCACAGCACGTGGTGTTTGATTGACCACAGCAGTACTTCGCCGTGCCGTCATTACATGCGGTCATAAAGCTAATGTTACTCGGGTTCCCGCCAGTCTGAGACACAATGTAAGCTATTATTGTTTGTTTCTCATGGCATTAGATCACGCCAGTAGTTCGGAGCGTACCTGGATATCTGTGCAGACATGGTTGCAAGCCTTGCTCTTCCATGTCTTGTCCGTGCAGAAACCGCGTTGTGGCTGTTGTTGACGGTTGATACAGAGACCGGAAGAGGAGCAGATATCTCGTTGTTCCGGAGGGCCATCAAGAGCACAGCAACTCGAGAAGACTCCGGCCTGGTTGATACCGAGCTTGTTGCACGGAACGTACGTTTCATTATCCGCGAGGGTGCCGTCTGGTGCGTAACACGACGCTTCCTGTGACAAGACACCAAAAGAGTAAAGCGAGAGGCTCAAGACCACTCCTAGCATTGAGGCCAACATTGCGATAACGTTAGTGGGCGGAACCTGAGTCGCTCAATATCGAGTCGCAATTGACATTGGTCGGGTGTCGTGGAATGAGAAGAAAGTCGGAAGAAGCAGAACCGAAACCCCCAGGGAAAGGGAAAAGAAAAGGCTCCCGCAGATTGAGGGGGACCTCTTAGCTCTATGAAGACAGGCCCTACCCGCGTGTAACATAACAGATGCATTCTCTGTGCAACCTTTTCCTCCTCATCTCAAGCCTCTCCAGTGTCTGACTGGCAGAATCTTGGACAAAGGGAGGGGGGCTCAGTCTCACGCGCATACGATATGCCCTGCACTGTGATGCTCAACACCAACATGCAGCCAACGCAGCCCCCAAGCTATCTGAAATAGGCAGGCCAACCGAGAATGTTCAGCAATCGAACCTAGTCCAATCTGCGCCAGTCAGACGAACTGTTGGAAGCAGAATGCAGGATCCCGGTCGAATTGGATGCCTGGCCCACTCATCGTGCAGAGCTGACCGGGCAGAGACCATCCCAACAGGCGGACGAGATGCATAACTTTTACGATGAAGCGGTCGGCTGTGGCCGAGGAGGGGGTAAGCAGCTTACTATGTGGTGCGGGAGAGGGCGGGATGACACGCTCTACTTGCATTTTCGGGTCGACCCTTCTCCGGGCAACCGAACGATGTCGGGGAATCGCCCGCTTAAGTCTTTGGTATTCGAAGTCCCTTATGGAGTAAATTCAACGAAAAATTAGTAATTGTTGGTTGAACCTGGCTTTGTCCGGCGAGAATGTGCAGTCGCAGATTAAAGCAAACAATAGGATCGAAATCCCGGCATGAATCATGAGGCAATGCGGCCGAGATTGCTCTAGTGCTGATTGTTAAAGGGATCAGGCTCGCCCCAAAGCCACAGGGCTTGGCAGGCCACACAACTCGCTCTATCATGCATGACAACGTGTGCCTAAATTGTACAGTTTGTCAGCTTACACATCTGACAGGAGATCAACCCTCCTGCAGGACATTAGCCCTCCTACTTCTCCCACCTGGAGCCAAATAAAACCCACCTACCAGAACTTGGGAGATCTCATAGAAATAGCACTCCAATGCCATGCCATTGTTCTAGGCAAGTCACAAGAAGCCGTACAGGGGAAGTTGAAAAGCTTGAGTCGGGCAATTGCCTCGACTTCTGATCAAGGTAATATCGGCTTTGCTAGCCGCTCAGTTAAGTGCATGCCGGGATGGGTTTCTACCAGTTCTTACCTGGTACTCAAGCTATCCATTCGTTTGGATCAATATCTATTACTTGGTACGTACTAACCATGATACATGAGAACAATATTTTAGCATGCGGTCTTTGTTTTCAATGAGGCCAGCCTCTTGCCACCTTAGTCGAGCTGGGTTATGTTGTAAACGATTCAAGACGTTCCGAGTTCTATCGTACATCTGGCTCTTGAGTCAGATGAAACTGACTGAATAACTTCGAATTATTTACGGGTAAAAACAAAAGGACACTAGAAGCAGGTGTACACGTACTCTAGTCTACTTGCCGGGCTCTGGTGGCACTGCAGCCGCAGCAAAGGCTCTTGCCCTTCAAGAATGACAATAAGACTTAAGATCGGAATCAAAGCCTTAGTTGTGATATCTAAAACCTATTTAAGTACATGTACCAATATCTCATGTCCGCGCACATGCGTCTTCCATCGGACTGACAGAAGCGGATCCTTGAGTCAAAACCATGCATCTTAAGCTACCTTGGTGATGCCGATCAAGACAAACAACACGCATTCTGGAAATTTGATCAAATATCCGTGGTGCCTTTTGAATGGGAGCTCAGGTCATGAAATGAGCGCTACTGAGAGCGACTTTGGATGTCTCCATCGTCTACTGCCTAACAAGAAGCTCCGGGGTCAAGAGTAGTAATTCATCACAGCAAGTAAAACGTCTCAATTGTCTTGCATGCAATTGTACATTGAAGTTGAGATTATGATCTGCATTTTGTCACGTCAAAGCCGAACATCTTAATGATATGAAAATGGGCAAGCTTCTAACGAGAACATCAACATCAAATCGGCTATTGGTAGAAGGCACTAGAGAGATCGGCACTGATATTGACATTTTCACAAGTCAAGAATTAGAGCTTTTGAGGAGATCTACCGGTGATATCGATACAAGACATTTGAACCTGTATCAGGTATCTACTAATGTACTAACCAAACCGGTCCCTGCGCTGGTGCAAAGGACGAGAGTTCAATGTTGGAGCGTCGGGTGTATGCATCCGCTCGGCTCCTCCCCCGCATTTTGAGCTTGAAGACCGTCCTAGCCCCGGCATAGCCGTGAACCGATCGGCTATGTGATGACGACACTCTTTATAAGTACATGTAGGCGGCGTTGCTGGAAGTAGAGGTGAGTCTATGGCAACAACATCTGACCCGGCTACAGACGGCATCAAGGTAAACCGCAAGTTTCTTCTTGACACACAGCAGAATATGGCACAAGATTACACCGTAAGCAGCTTTGCGCGTATGCCCTGTTGCTTCATGCCACACAAGATTAACATTCACATTGAATAGGGACAATGTTTCCCGGGCGCAGAAGATGCGACAGAGAGATTCTGCGACTTTATAGCCCGGACTGAGTTCGAGGATATCCCAGACCAAGCTCTCACGAAACTCTTCGATCTCGTCATTGATCATATTGGAGTTGGGGCCGGCGGAGGTGCCCATTCGGAGTCGAGTGAGCACATCATCAAGGGCGTCGAGGCTTTCGCTATGGGCTCGGTTGGAAAGAGTACAGTCTACGGCAAAGGAAGAACTTATCCAATCCAAATCGCAGCTTTGCTGAACGGGGCATTTGCGCATTCTTTCGACTACGACGATACGCTCGCTATTGGCATCATTCACACTGGCGCGAGTGTCATCCCCGCTGCCTTAGCGCAGGCCGAGGCCTCAGAGGCCACTGGAACTCTCTTGCTCACGGCGCTCTCTGTTGGGTACGAGGTCGCTTCTCGTCTCGGCCGTGCCTTGTCGAATGGCGGATACCCTCGGGGCTTTCACAACACCAGCACGGCCGGTATCTTCGGAGCGGTTGCGGCCATCAGCAAGATCAAGGGCCTGACGTCTGAACAAATCTACAATGCGTTCGGCCTAGCGGGCTCGAAAACCGCTGGTTCGATGCAGTTCCTCGACAATGGATCTTGGAATAAGCGATTGCATCCTGGCTTCGCCGCTCATGATGCCTTCCTCTGTGTTGCCCTTGCGGAGGCTGGCGTGACTGGGGCTGCTCATATCATTGAGGGCAAGTGGGGCTTCTTACAAGCTCATTCTGCGAATGTCAACGCTGTCGGCTTGACCGAAAGTCTCGGGATGAAATGGTTGTACCCAGCGACAGCAATGAAGCCGTTTCCCGCATGTCGGTTCACTCATACCGCCATTGAAGTCACAGCGAAGCTTGCTGCAAAGTCCAACTCACAGAAGCTGCCGGATAGAATAGTCGTAGGGTTGACTAGAGCTGGGTATGGTATCGTTGGCGAGCCCAATCCCAACAAGAAGCACCCCCAAACCATCGTCGATGCTCAGTTTAGCATTTACTACCAAGTCGCTGTTGCATGGCTTTTCGGTAGCGACATTGGCTGGGGTGCATATGATGCGGACAAGATGGAGAGCAAGCAAGTTGCACAGCTATGCGATAGGATTGAAGTTAAGATCAACGACAAACTCGAGAAGGAATTTGAGGTGCGGATGGTATTCTCAGGCATAGGTGGCGTAGGCGATATCGAAGAAGCGATGGTGTATCCCCTGGGAGAGGACGAGCATCCCTTTTCGCACGAGCGAGTTGAGAAGAAATTCAGAAGCTTGACCGCGTCTATCTATGATAGCGACCGGGCGGGAAGGATACTACAAGCTGTGCAGGGGCTTCCAAACGGACAGTCAAAGGACTTGATCGAGTTACTGTGAGTTCAAGTATTTGTTGTCGCGGGATTATTCTCGAGCGGAATTGGCTAATAGGCTTTCCTTTTCTCCCCGGACAATTGAACATGAAAGCAGCCGGTGTTGGAATAGGACGGACACTCCTCAGACAGCCCATGAGGTGGTGCTTCCTATTTCAGCGACTTGGTGTGCAGGAGTTGGGAAAATGCCTCCAATTTGGTCCAGGCGCGAGCACGGAAGCCCTCTTCCGGACTGTAGGGGGAACCTCTCCGAAATCATGGAAGTAATCGAGACCAATACCCAGCCAACCGAGGAGTGGCTGCTTCCCAGGATGTCCGGGTGAAGTTGCTGTTTGCGGTTCTCTCTGGTGGCCTAGAACCGGAAATAAACTCACGCAGGCCCGCCGAGAGGGTCGCGCTTCGGCTTGCTCGATGTTGCCAAGGTTCCATGGACACTGGCAAAAGAGCCGAACGAGCACCCGCTGCAAATGGCCATAAGAGTCTTGCAGAAAGTGAAATACAGGATGTTATTGTCTGCGAAGAAAAGAAGTAAATGGTAGTGAATATACTGAGGTTAAGCCCGAGTCCGACTGGCAGCCTGACGGTCTAGATTAGGGTGCATGTCACTTGGTCTTCATCTGGCCCCCTTTACGCTGGGTCATGGGGCAGAGCAGTGATATGATACTTGGAAAAAGTAAAAGTAAGCCTCATCATCAGGTCTGCAAGAGTAAACTTACCCAATTGCGACCTCAACAAGGAGACGTTGATAAAGTCTGAGTCTCAGAGGGTGAGTTGAAAGGAGGATGTTAAGTAGTCCCTAAGTTGTCCAACAGTGATCGATCGGGGCATTGAGTTGAAAAACTCCACTCCTGGTGAACTCAAATTCTCAAAGTTCAAACAGTAAGGCAACTTCACCAGGGTATGGTTCCCGAGTCAGCCTTTCCGTACGCCTTATGTCTTGGATAGACTGGCCTGTGAACTTCATTCATATATCGGACTCTGAGGGTTGTGTTCGTGTTACTTGTGGCCATGCCAAGCTGAAATCCGGGGGATCGATGAGACAGAACCATGGGCAAGCCCCTTGTTCAGGCCCGAGCGTACATATCTGATGGTATGAATAATGAGAGCACCATTCGAAGCTCCCATGTCTCAATGGCCTTGATGGAGAATCCACCGCCATGCATGCAGAGCTCGCCACGATGAATTCATCCATCCCTCGTGCCGCCAATTCCAACGGCTGTCACGCTGCGGGAGAGCCCGATCCGTCCGTGCTCTGACTTTTCGGCCGGGCGGGAGTGCGGGGGATGATACTCTTCGCTGCTACTTCATCTCGCTTCCGGGTCTGACACTCAGGGGCACCCCTTCTTCTCCAATTGCTAGACAGCGGGTGAGGCCACGAGTGATGTCGCACTGCAACCCTTGAAGGGGTAGACTCCCTTGGAACCATAAAACTGTCGTGGTAGCGTTTGGTCTACCGGCTGAACTCCTTTTCTCGGGTGATGGGCGGAGGGCAAGGGGCGGGAAGGCCACTTGACCGGTTCTTTTATAGCCATGCATCGCCGTTTAGACACGACCCAGGTCCCTGTTCGGGGATCTCCTCGATCTTTGGAACCATTTCATACCACCTTGCCCCTTGGCAGCTGAGGCGACATCGAAGAGTTCTACATGCGGCGGTTCTCGACACCGCGTCGTGATTGAGCACATCGCGGTTATGGACGATACGCCTTGGGACGAACTCCCACATGACGACTATGGCCCGGGATTGCTCGCCACAGTATGGACACTCATTGGTATCGCTGGTGCATTTATTGGTCTACGGATATACTGCAAGTTCTCGCGTGGAAGAGGACTGTGGTTAGACGACCATGTGCTGGTTGCATCATGGGTAAGACTACCTTGACTGCAGCCGATGACAAGTTGCCAGCCCCTAACAAGTACCTTGATCAGTGCGCTCTGCTAGCCCTAGGATCGTTCATCTCTATCGACGTGTCATACGACTTTGGCAAGCATAACTGGGATATCACACCGGGAAATTGGTCATGGCTATTACTCTACGCCAACCTCTCCGGGTCGTTTTCAATCATCGCGGCAGCTTGGAGCAAGACGTCTTTTGCGCTGACTCTGCTTCGAATCACACGAGAGTCATCCGAACGATGGATGAAGCTACTCGTATGGTTCATCATCATTTCGATCAACACATTCCTCGGCGTCAATGTGCTTTTCACCTGGATACAATGTTGGCCAGTCGAGAAAACTTGGAGAACAGCCTCAACACCTGGCACCTGCTGGCCGAAGAGCATCATGATGAACTACAACGTCTTCACGGCATCGTACTCTGGAGGGATGGATATCGTACTGGCCATCTTGCCTTGGAAGATTATATGGGGACTTACTATGACCAAAAAAGAGAAATTTGGTGTTTTGATTGCTATGAGTATGGGCGTATTGTGAGTTACCTTATGCTTCAATGATCCTCTTGGGAAGTTTGGAATCCGCGTGACTGACGAATACTTCCCCCAGTGCCGGTGCTGTATCTTTTATAAAGATACGAACGATTGCTGCGATCGGAGCTTTCGACATTATCGATACTGTTGAGTTGGTGATCTGGGGTGCAGCAGAAAGTGTTGTCACCATCATCGCTGCAACCATACCAATACTGCGAGCATTGGTACGGGATCACAAAGCACCACCGGCTCGATTCGTTAGTGACGAAGAGTCCATGATGCGCCGTCTAGGAGCAGCCTCGATTGCAACGGCTACCGTAGCGAGCCCAGGTATGAGGCGGTCAAGATCTGATCTTGAGTTAGCAGAGTGGAAGGACCCATTGACTGAGACGCGGACGGGTCAATGTAACCAGGTCCCGAGGCCCTGGAAAGTAGGCGATGTGAAGTTTAACCCAAAGAGAGGAGACACAATGATACCACCTGACACTTTCCAACGAGGACATGACGAGATGGAGTATAGTGGTTCTATGGAGTTATCCAGGAGATTAAAGTAGTTCCAAGCATTTGATGTACAAAAGTTCCCGCCAATTATTCTATTTGCACAATAACTGTATAAAGTCCCTTCCGACACCCTGTCAATGTTGCAATTGCTCATCCTTCTCCAGGAGGCTTGAAAGAGTAACTTGAGTGCACAGCATTGCAGTGGAAGGTTCTTCGGTCTCAATGCGTCAGAAGAACACGCTCAAGCCCATGTCTAGTACTCGAGAGTGATCGTCATAGTGGATTAGCATAGTGACAGTTGTCTCCAAAGTTCCCCTAGGGTGTCATGGCCGCCAGGCAGCAGAATTACAGATGAGCGCTAAAATCCTCCTCCACGTTTCTAAGGGACTTAAGTTGGACTTCGGGAACCCGAAAACGTCACTTAAAGGTGCGATGTGCCCTATCGTAGCAAGGCGAGGCTTCTCTCTGTGCTAGGTGCGACTTCAAACGTCAAGATAGCATTTGTACGTACAAAAAGGCAGTCTTGGTTCCAGACTGGATGCACAGTGCCGCTACCCCTCAATAACGCCACCATCTCAAGGTTTGACACGCAGACTCGCCGAAAATGAAGTTACCATTCTACACCACAGCCATTCTCCTCTCAAGTGGTTCATATGCCGCAACCATGAGACGAGCGGTCCCAGACTTCACCACTTCAGAAGCCGGCAACCCTTTCGTGGACGGATGGTACGCCGATCCTGACACATGCGTCTACAAGGGCCAGTATTGGGTATTCCCGACCTCATCCTACGCCTATGACGAGCAGACCTATCTCGATGCTTTCTCTTCGACCGACTTAGTCCACTGGACCAAACATGCGAACATCCTTACCAAAGCCCAGGTATCTTGGGCAAACAGAGCCATGTGGGCGCCCGCCCATATCGAACGCGACGGAAAATACTATCTGTACTTTGCAGCCAATGATATCCAAGAGGGAGAAACGCAGTTTGGCGGTATTGGTGTTGCCGTAGCAGACCAGCCCGAGGGCCCTTACAAAGATGCGATCGGGAAGCCGCTCATTGGCGAGTACCATAATGGGGCACAGCCCATCGATCAAGATGTCTTCATCGACGATGATGGTCAGGCGTATATCTACTATGGTGGCCACGCGCATGCCAACGTTGCCAAGCTGAACAAAGATATGGTCAGCATCGGCACCTTTCCAGATGGCAGCCAGTTCAAAGAAATCACACCCGAGAACTATGTGGAGGGTTCCCTGATGTTCAAGCGCAATGGGAAGTACTACCTCATGTGGTCTGAAGGAGGATGGACGGGCCCGGATTACTCAGTCTCATACGCCATTTCGGATTCACCCATTGGCCCTTTCAACCGAGAAGCCAAGATCCTCCAGCAGGATACCGCTGTAGCAACTGGTTCTGGCCACAACGGGGTCATCAACGTCCCTGAAACCGACATCTGGTACATCTTCTATCACCGCCGGCCATTGGGCGACAGTGATGGCAACCATCGTCAACTTGCCTATGATAGGATGTACTTCAATGAAGATGGGACAATCAAGCCAGTCAAGATGCTCGTTAAGGACAACTTTGATGACGGGAACCTGATAGGCTGGAAGGCCTCTTTTGAAGGGTCCTTCTCAGTCAAAGATGGAAAGCTTAAGGCGGAAAAGGCCACAAGCGGCAAGGCCCTTCAAAACACAGGATTCGAGGATTTGATATTTGATATCGACATCACCCTCGTTGATCCAGATGTTGGGTCAAATGCTCAGGATTCCGGTGATGCGGGAGTTCTTTTCGGTGTTTCGAGCGCTTCCGCAGGAATCGACAGCTTGACTGGGTTCTACGCTGCAATTGACGCATCAGGCGAGGTGATTCTAGGTCAAATGGACCAGAGTTGGACTCAACTAGCATCTGTCCAGACACCGATCCAGGCTGGGACAAAATACCACCTAAGTGTGACTGTAATCAACAAGGAGGTCAAAGTCTTTGTTGATGATATGAGCGCCCCTAAGCTAACGCACGTCGTTTCGAAGAGTACTAAGGGGACCACAGGAGTGCGAGTGTTCCGGACCGGGGCTCTCTATGATAACCTTTCTGTTGCACATACGCAATAGACAGGATGACAACCGAGTACGTCAGGATGTCAGGATGAACCAACAAAGAATGAACCCACATGTGTACTTAGATCTTGATGCTGGACCACCAACGAATCATGCTTTACTATATGTGGATTATTCCAACCGAATGAATCAACCGTGATCACTGACTTCAAAGACCTACTTGAGATTTCGATGTGGCATTCTCTTGGTATGTCCAAGTGCCACCACTTTTGATATATTGCCGCAGCAGACCGCCTACCCAAAGTCGATTGGAAACTGCACCAGACAGTCGCGTTGTTAGCTGGAAGCGATACCGATAAACTCGATCAACTATCACTAATTACTATGATAGTCCGACTGAACTGAACGAGAAGCGGGGTTTTGCAGAGCAAGCTTCCCCGCTCAGAACTCCGTGTGTCCGAGGCATGCCGAGGCACGGGAGATCAAGTCAACATTCAAGAGACGGAGCACGGAGCGCCCGAATCCGCTCCACCTGGCACGCTGTCAAGGGCCACCATTCGCACCGGAATCCACGGAGTGGAAACCTAAAAGACTGCGACAAAAGGGAGAATTGGTAAGCCGTGTCTCCGCCCCAATGGAAATTCGTAGTTGTGTCTTACGTCAGTGAGGGGACGATGGGCAGAGGTATTTATCCCTTTCAGGTCCCGGCGGTCTGGACTTGATTCACAACGACAAATTCAATTCAAAATACCAATCACCAGACTTAGCTCGACTCACTTACCAGCCAACAAATCGAACGTATTATTCCTCCAGACAGTTGAACTATAAACAAGAAACTCGCCAAAATGCCTGCCACCGTCTCTGTCCTTTACCCCAACGAGGCCGATGCCAAGTACAACATCGATTACTACGTCGAGAGCCACATGCCCATGGCCGCTGCCACATGGAAGTCGGCTGGCGTCAAGTCCTGGAAGGTCACTAAGTACTCGGCGTCCCCCGACGGAAAGCAGCCCAAGTATGCCTTCGCCGGCATCCTCACCTTCGACAGCATTGAGAGCATTCACAAGGCGCTCGCTTCACCCGACACGGCCAAGGTCATGCAGGACGTCCCCAACTACAGCAACAAGGAGCCTGTCTTCTTGATCGGCGAGGACGCGAAGGAGGCTACCCTTTAAATGGCTATTTGTGGCATGACATCTTCGACTAGAAGGAGCGAATTCATCCAAGAGTAATCGGTGAAGGAATAAAGTGAAAACTACCTCAGTTCGCACTTGAGCTCCATCCAAATAGTAGCAGTAAGAAAGGAATTTTATGACATATGAAACGGGTGTTCACAAAAGACAAGAGGAGAGAGTCATTGATTTATCTCAGTTCAAGTGACCAAAATTGAGATTCATTTATTATGAGAATGAAAGTGCTAAGGCCTTGATGAGAATGATGCTTTTTATTTTTATTTTTCTTAGCTTACATTGAGTTCAGGTCTGAGGTAGGAGGCAGTGGCGTGCTGTTGCAAGAGAGTTGTCTGAAGACCAAAGTCTCAACCTGAGTGACATTATCCAAGTCCAACTGCGAGTTGCGAGCATGGGCTAGATTACAGACCGGCACCCCCATCAACACTCCAAGCGGCTCCATTGACAAAGGTGCTCTTGTCGCTGAGCATGAAAACGGTCACATCGGCCACCTCTTGGGTCTTTCCTACGAGTGTTGGGGCAGGGAAATTCTTGGGCACTCTAGCCAAATTGGCTTGGTGCATCGGCGTGTCAATAGCACCGCTGCCTCTTCATCAGCATCATTCAACCAAAAGGAGGAGTGCGAATAACTTACGGTAGCACACAATTGACTCTAGCCCTGGTGCCGACTTCCTTGGCTGCACTGCGAACCATACCCAGAGACGCATGCTTGGAAGCGGCAAATACCGCACCCTTCTGGAAGCCTTGGAGTGAGAACATGCTTCCAACGTGAACAAAACTTCCGCCGTGAGATAGAAAATCTGGCATCAGAGCTTCAGCGAGTACATGGAACGCTCCTCTGATGTTAAGATTGGTGATGAAGTCGAATTCGGCGTCACTGGTTTCCCAGATTGACTGAGTGCCCAATTCATGGCCACCGCAACCGGCAAAGTTGGCGACACCATCGACCTTGCCGAAATGTGACTTTGTGTCTCTTAGAAAGCCGCGGATCGATGAGCGGTCTGTGACATCTGAGGCTCTAGAGAAGACTCTCTCTTGTTGCTCTGCGTCAAGTCCCTTGACTGCATTTCCAAGAGCGGCGCTGTTGACGTCAGACATCCCAACCTTGGCACCTTCATTGAGTAGAGTCTTTGCGGTAGCTAAGCCCATCCCAGATGCAGAGCCAATCACAATAATGACTTTATTGTTGAAGCTGAGTGACATCTCGGCGATGTAAAATATCGGGTTTCTGATGTGACTTCAAGGAGCCTGGAGATGAGGAAAGTAAAGAGTAGCAAAAGAACACAACAGTCAATGGATGAGTGAGGATGGGATGAAGTGATCTCCATGGATAAATGAGACCTTTTATATATAATCGAGACCTTCCCTGTATCGCGTCATTGCTTTGATACTTCTCACTAGATCTCACGATCTCTACTGCCAAACTCGAGGACATGAACAGCTCCACTGCCAGCCATCTTTCGCCGCCAATGCACGCTAATGCAGCCTGCTGACAACCGAAACTTGCGTACCAGGATATTGGTTCAACCTGTCCCATAACCACCACAATGGTGTTGCTTGGCGATGCCGGATGTACACTCAAGATGTATATATGTTGCCTCGAACCTTTTCGCAAAATATGACTCAAGTCTTCCACGTCACGTCACAATTGGGAGTGATGACAGTGAAACTCAGTTGATTGAATCGTCAAGTAATACCAGAGCGATGACTCCTGCCCTTTCTCTAGCTGTTCAGGACCCCTAAACATACAGGTATCTACCAATAGCTGTGTGTGAGATATGTTTACATGAGTGAGCTCGTTACTCATAACCATGTCTCGAAGAAGCGTACCGCCTGTAGGAAAGCATCTTCTTTCGCAGCCTTTTGCACGGGATTGTTGAGGTCAGGATGTGTAGCAAAACCGTGAGGTGTTCCGCCATAAAGTGCCATCGTGAACGGTTGACCAGTTGTTCCCATGGCTGTTTCAATCTCTACCCTCCTCTTAGTCAACATACCAGTATCTCCCTCTGTGCGGCGTAGCGGTCAGTATTGCAAAAGACACCGAACTCACGAAGGGGAAAGGGTAAGATTTCTGGACTTGGACTTACCAGCCACTGCCAAACTCGCAGGTCCTTTGATAGCCTTGATTTCGTCGTCACCAAGTGCGCTTGGATGCGCAGCAAACCCAACCTGCACCCCCTTTTTGTCGGGAAGGCCAAGTGCACGGAAGACATATCGCCCACCAAAACAATACCCGGTCGAGGCAATGTGACGGACTCCCATCTGCTCTCGCATGTACGTGATGGCCTTCTCGACTTTGGGGTCTGTGACGCTAGGCCCATGTGACTTGAAGAACTCGCTTGCGTTAAACGCTGACATTGAGCCTTCGGTTCTTGGCTTGCCGTCCATCAAGTCCGGGGCGACGGTGATGTAGCCCGCGCGGGCGAAGCTGTCGGCAAGACTTTAGAAGGGTCAGTCAATACCCGAAGTACGAAGCTAGGAATGATATTATCGATCTAAGGTTCACTCACAGCATATTCTCCGTCGACTGGATTCCAAAAACGTCAGGCAACATGAGAACTCCAAATTGTCGCATTGGATCCGGACCCTTTTCGCTCTTATTTCGCGGCATTGAGACATAAAGGTCAACTGATTTTGTTAGTACGTGACACTCAGCGCAAGATAGTGGACGTAATGTTCACTTACGGCCATCGAAAGGAACAACCTTCCCAACCGGGGTGCCGGCAAACGCCAAAATGGACAAGTCAGCGACGTAAGAGCTCCTACTTTCCGCCAGAGATATCAACCCCAAGATTGCGGGGACGGCGCCGAGGTATCGCATCGTGACAAAGTTCCTGACCTAAATTACTGCTATCAAAGTGGCATGCCCGCTAGAGTGCGTCCAGGGGAAGGTTGAATGTTTTATTATGTCAAGACATGCGCAACATGGGATGTAGACTCTTTCCCGAGGCACCGTACCTGCATCGAGACTGCCTCATGGAGGAAGCTTTACTGCAGTTGACTCGGGATCCGAAAAGCTTTATGCCGAGAGGGTTGACTTTGGGGGGTGCGGCAAGCTGCTGATACGCAGGAAACTTCCGCCAATCTCATAGCTAGCGCAACCTACGGGGCGCGCGCTTCAGCCAAATTTGTTGTTTTATCTGATTGAAAGACAAGACGACTGGAGCTAAAGTAGGGTAAGCCAATCGCCTTTCAGTTGTCTTTCTCCTACATGGCCGGTGCTGCGCTCTCTGGAGCGTTTCGGGGTCGTCTCAGTCAAAGCTTGGTGAGATGAAACGAACATTTCCTCTATCAGCAGCGGAGAGAAACTGACCAAACGTTTACTTTGTCTTTCGCTTTTCAGATGAGAGATGAATAAAATCAGGTGACGAGAAGAGACTATGCTATAGTCTTTGTTGCTTTCGATCTCTAAGGACAGCAGACGTCCCTCGCGTGCGCCCTTCGACCCCCTCGACGTTGATGTTCGCGTAAATTCGTGTCTGTTGGCCTACCTTGACAACTTGAAGAGCTCGTAGGCCTTCCTGAAGAAATTGATTGGTGAGGTCCCATTGAATAATTCTCATTTCTCCTAATATCCACCGCTTTTTGCCCCCTATTCGTTTCTGAAATGAAAGATTATCTAGCCCGACTTTTCAAGTGTGATATTAGCCTGAGGTTACGAGCTCTTCACCCATAACCCTTATCTACTGGTCTCAAGGCCTAAATATGGGTTTCTTCTTAATGAAAGATTCGATTCAACAACAACCCACAATGAGCTAGTATAGATGCCCGCGGCGCCATGGGGTAGCAATACATGTAGGCTCCAGGGGTCGTTCCCTCCCCGCCCCCACATCCTCTGGGTTCTGGCACAGGTTGTCTGCCAACCATGGCTCAATGTGGGGTATTTACGAGTCTTGGACTCGGGCAACGACTAGAAATTTAGATCAGATTGAAAAGAAACGACTTGAATTGATCTCTCTTGCCTTAAGGATACATGTTTATTATAGCAGCATCACGAGCAATATTGTTCTCAACATGGCACCCTCCCATCCTGACGAAGGCGTCGCGATTAGACGTGGAACCGAACAATACGAAGAATCTCGAAAGTCATACTTCAATAGAGAAGAGACTGGCAGATATCCGACTGAGATACATGTGGCAAAGACTTCTCAGGATGTTGTCGAAGCACTTCGCAGAGCCAGAGAGCTTAAGGTCTCAGTCGGCATTCGGTCTGGAGGACACCTCCCCTCCAAACCCTCCTTAGTCCATAACGGAATTCTTATCGACGTTAGCAGCATTAATCACCACGTCAAATACGATGAATTTACTGAGGAAGTTGAGTTGGGCCCCGGCGTTCGCGTTTATGAAGCCTGGAAGGCAACAGACGCCGTTGGCAGATTCTTTCCTTTTGGGCATGCGCCTGACGTAGCACTAGGAGGTTTCTGTCTCGCGGGCGGGCAAGGTCTTTTTATGAGAGCATGGGGAGCTACTATCACAGAATGGATTGTTCGACTGGAGATTGTTGTTCCGGATGGCCGAGTATTGATTGCGAGCCGGACGGAAAACGCTGACCTCTTCTGGGCTGCTCGAGGCGGTGGGCAAGCATTCTTCGGAGTTGTGACCCGAATTTGGAGCCGGACTATACCAAAGAAACGACTATTCTGGCGATCTACAACTTTCACTGTTGGCGATAAGTTCGAAGACTTACTTATATTTGCTTTCGAGCGAAATGACGCCATGCCAAGGAAATTTACCGAGTCGGCCATCTGCGTACTTCACCCGGAGTTGTTTGACAGTGGAGCGGTGGAAGTTGTTCCCGATTCATCGCCTTTGATCATGGCCATCAATGTTTGCGCTTACGCAAATACCCTGACCGAGGCTACTTCAATGCTCGAAGTCTGGGATGGAGTCCCTGAAAACATCAGAGACTGCCTTACGGAGGCAAAGGCAACAACGGAAGCGAGCTGGGAGGAGTTCTTTGAGCTTCAGCGACAGATCAACCCGGAATCGCCGGACCAGAAGTGGGGAATCAACAGTATCCTCAACGATCCTTCGATAGCTCTTCCAAAGGTACGGAAAGCCCACCAAAACGTACTTAGACGATAGGTGTGATCCGATGCTGAAGCCGTACTAATTGGAATTTCAGCTGATTGAAGCCATCAAGCCTGCTATGTGCGAGTTGCCAACTAAGTCATCTTTTGGCTGCATATACATCTGCGACACTCTGAAGCCAGACGAGAGAGATGCTGTCTTCAGTATTCCTCAGCAGTACTATATATCAACATTCAGTGGCTGGAAGGACCCTGCCCTTGTGCCCCAAGTTCGAGAAACCATACGGACCTCTTACAGAAAAGCTGAAGCGGTTGCCTGCGGGATCTATAGTGCCGACTTTGACCAATTCAAGACCTCATTGCATTCACCTGAGGTATGTGTTTTCTTCTGACTGAAACTAGCCGACAGCACTGTTGACATCAAGGTGACTTCAGATCAAAGTATGGACAAATTCAGCTCGTGCTCGCTTCATGGAGATTCGAAGGCGGTGGGACCCTGATAGTTTATTTACGGGATACCGGGCGTTTGATATCGACGCACAGGCGAAGCTAACTCTGTAAACATTTGATTGTACATGTTACAGAACAGAATGATTTAGTATGAAAACAGTTGAGACCAAACATTCATGCCCAAGATGACTCATAGAGAGTCATATCGCTCTTTGACGAGGAAATGTTTTCCCCGCAACGAATCCCATCAAGTCCAAGTAAGGCACCTTGGACACGGTTTGGATTTCTCTAACGACATGGACGCCCATTACCGCCTGGCAAAAGGGAAGCGGCGGTAAGCAAACAGAAAGCTGAGAGGGGAAAGATTGCAATGCGGAATGATTGAGCAAACAAAGGATGAGGCGGTAAATTCAATATTCGACAAACAAGCAGCACAAGAAGATTAAACCAACGAGCAATCAATTAAATGGATAATAATCTAGACAGATCCTTTATCCGCCTTGCAACAACGTTGGCCACCCTGTGCTGCACCTTGCTCTCCGACCAGGAGTGTTGCGGTGAGTGCTTCGAATTGAGGAACAAGGACCCCGGTGGCTTTGTTTACACGCAAAATGCCTCGAAAAATAATGCGGGGGAGCTTCGACGTGGAGGTAGCTTGACTAAGTATTATATGAAGGCTGGATGCATCCGCTTCGGTCGCATAATGGCTTGGGGTAATTATCAAGGGAACTTTGCGACAAGACATATCCTTATCGAAACAACATGAATGACATCAGAACCCTTCCATCCTCGGATAGTACTATCGAACTTGTCTTACTTGATGGCGGAGGTCTCACTACAACAGACGACACAAAGATCCACGCAGATGGGTATGGCAGGCCATATTTCCTTTACAACTGGTGTTTCTACATCCATCATAGAAAATCAGGCCGCAAGATCCTTTGGGACCTTGGTATCAGTGATGTAAGTTAAGAGGATTAGACCAATGTGCAATACTCACGCTTTCACGTCTAATAGGACCGGCAAATGTACACCCCTTTTGTGTTGAATTACCACTGGACGAGCTGCAATCCAGTTGGGCCACGTCGACGACTTGCAGACCAGTTGCAAGACTTAGATGTGAAGACATCGGAGATCGATACAGTGCTCTTTAGGTATTTCTATGAGCAATCCCAAATACGTTTACTGGGATGCCAGAACATTTAACGGGCCAGCAGTCACGCACATTGGGACCACTGTCGTCCTATCAAAGAAGAATTCCCCAATGCCAAGGTCATTTTTGGCCGCGGAACAGCTTCACACTGCTCTCCAGGGCATATCCAGAATGATGAAGTCCAGCCAATGGCTCAATGGGACTCTCGAATTTTCGGCGATGACAAAGTTCGGACAGAGAACTTTCAAGAGCTCGAAGGCTTGTGGCAGTCCTGGGGCCCATTCCAGTCAGCACTAGATTACTTCGGGGATGGCAGTCTTTGGATCATCGAAGCCCCTGGGCATATGGCAGGAAATCTCGCAGCATGCGCGCATTTAGAATCGGGTGAACGCATCATTATGGCAAGTGACTGCTGTCATTCAAGGTCAGTGCATATTCGTAGAATACCATCATTTCAAAGGTTTCCACGCCATCCTTGAAGGAGCCTCTTGCAATGAACTCATCTTCTGATTAAACAAGCTGACCTCCGAGCAGGGACATTTTCCTCGGTCGCCGAGAAATCGCCAACGTCAAAATGGACGATGGATCCCGTTTCTGCTTGCATGAAGATCTGGATAAAGCACTTGATACGATTTCTAGGCTCAGAAAAGCAGCTGAGGAGTATGGGATGCATATTGCGATGGCCCATGATGCCGATTTCATCAAGGACGGCAACGACCCTGTGTTGATGTCAATCTTACACCCCATGTTTGATGAGACTGTCCTGAACAGAATCAAAACTCATGGAAGGCCATGATGCACCGGGAACACATTCTTTCTAAGCAGACAAGTAGTAAGGTACCTAGCTAGGAAACGATTCCTCGCATTATGCTGTGGGAGTTGTCGCTTGTGTGCGCTGGCCCCTGCCACTTCCCCACAGTCTTCCCCAGCCTTTGCCAATATGAACCTCAGTTAGCGGCTTCTGGGGTGCAGAAGGTGCCGTAAAGCTTGCCGGGTTCGCCCTCCCATCACTGCCGACTGTGTGATGCATGAGATGTGACGCTAGGATGGGGCCCTTAGCTGCGGAAGAAGCTGACACAGCCATGATTCATCCGCCATCAGCGAGTCGCACGCCGTGGATTTCAGACCTTCGGGGACACTAACGGGTCAACACGCATCAGGTGCGGAGAAAAGTGTAGGGGATGTCCTGGTCCCCCGCAAGTCAAGCCCGGCCTCTGTCGGCATCTCATGAATCCGATCTGCCCGCAGTGTTCCTTGCCAACACCTCATCATAGCATTTGAGGCTACCACTACGCTGCTTGAAGCTATTTGGACCAACAAAAGGAAAGAATCGAGACGAGGTCACCGCGTCCAGAGAGAGAGGGAGAATACAGACAAAACGTCCATGTCTTCAGGGCCCGAAGGAAGTCCCTCCAGCGCCGCGCGAAGAGGTCGACCACGACGCCAGTACAAGTGCGCGCATTGCTCGAAAGCCTTCAAGCGTAGTGAGCACTGCATTCGCCACGAGAGAACACATACGCACGAGAAGCCTTATGTTTGTCGATACTGCCACAAGTCATATGCGAGGAAGTACGTTTTGGCACAACTTTTCGATCTCGGACAAGCCACACGACTTCCTGCTAATTGAAAGCTTCCAGGGACCTTGTTACGAGACACGAGCGCACTCTCCATGCGAAGGAGCAAGCAAGAGAAAAGATTGGAGATGTGGTGACAGTAGCATGCGCGCCACTGGCGCAAGCAACAGCGTTCTCGCCGTCGAGGAACAATGACTACATGAACGTAGACCAAGAGGAAGACGAAAGATCTGACCAGGAATCTCCCGACTCGCAGTCGCCAGGTGATGGCGCCGCTTCTTCCACAACGTCACCATGTTCCAGTCAAGCACGCCGAACCAACTCACGACGGAAGTCTCATCCTCGGCCAGCACCCGATCCCGATATCGAACTTGAACGAATGTTAATGACGTTCCAGCCATTGACTGATCAATCCTTCGAGGCGCGTGGGGATCCGAGCACCCTCGACCGTGCCGCCGAAAGTCAACCCGCAGATAACTTCCACCATGATGCTCAACAGGAAGGAAACTTGCTCCCTCTTCAATACTTCCACGATGTCGATCCAGTTGAAGAGTTGCCGCCGCTAGACCCAGCGTTATTCATGGATATGGATATTCCCTTTGAAAGTATCGCCATGGACATGCCTAGTAAATATCCAGTAGAAAACGGACTTGAGACTGGTATTTCACGGGAACAACCCCCTCGGCAACCACAGAACCCACCGGAGAAAAGCGGTGCTGCTGGTCTATCTACGGAAAATGATGAGTTGTTTACACCGAGAACGCTGGCCCATCTCGGCATGGGCGCATTTGACCTATCGCCCTTACCAAGCAACACCGCCGAGCAAAAAGAGGATCCAAGACGAATCACACGTCATCCCAATACTGACGGCCATTCAAGCGGAGGCCCTCCTGGATGGGCTAGCTATCATATACCTTCGGCCGGCAGCGATCTCCCCTCTCTACTCGAAGACGGGCGTCAACAATATCCGACTGTGACCTTTGATGAAGACACGCATACGTCTCTTCACAAAGACATGTCCTCAAGGCTGAAAATGTCAACTGGAGACTTTCAGCTCCCGACTGCCAAAACATTGCAAGGCTTCCTATCTGCTTACATGACGAGTTTCCATAGCCACTTCCCGATCATTCACATGCAAACTTTTGATTTGGCACACACTCCGGGCCCCTTGGTGCTTTCCATTTGTTCCATCGGCGCTCTTTATCGCCTAGACCGTCGTCGGGCGCGACATCTTCATGACTTGGCAATCCGCAGTGTGGAACAGGTGCCTCAACCAACCAAGGACGATCCCAAATCCATGGTAAAGGACTACTTTCTTTGGTTCGTGCAAGCGAAAATCCTCCTTAGCTTTTACGCGGTCATGAGCGGGGAGAAGGATCTCGTTGACGCAACGATGAAAGACAATGGCTTCTACACTTTGGTGAGTCAATCTGTCCCTCCATGAGCGGTCGCAAACGACTTCGAGACGATGATGCTGACCAGCGTCGTTCCAAACTTTCAAAGGTCTATAATAAGGCTCGAACTACGGTAGAAAACACTCAAACAGAACCATCCGAGATGACGTGGCACACGTGGATAGAGCTGGAGTCGTGGAAGCGTGCACTGGGGGGCATCTTCATAGAGAGTACCCTCACAATGGTAATTTACGACATCAACCCTGGATTTAATGCGACCCAAGATCTGGACATCGAAGCGTATCAAGATGAAAAGATGTGGAACGCGAGGTCGCCTGCAGAGTGGCGAGAGCTCCGCACAGCTGCCTCGAGAAGCTCACCAAGCAGTCGGCGACACACGATCAAAGATGTCCTTGTCGACATTCTACTGGAAGGAAGGTATCATGCCGACACGGTACCGTACCGCGTGTCGACTTTTACTGCCCTCGTCTTGACCCACGCGGTCGTCGTTCACATGTGGCAGAGATTACAAGTCTGCCAGGCCCTCGCTTCAACATGTTCGATTGCAAGAAATGACAATGGCGATGACCAAGACCCTCTAAGAGCCTCGCTTCTTAACGGAGCTATGCAGTCGTTGGGCCGGTGCGATGCCTTTCTCCAAGGCGTCAGGGGCGAGCTACGCCAACCACGCCCAGAAGAAGACGAGAAGGATAAAGAAATCTCGCTCGTCTTTAATTGCCAGGCAGTCTTGCGCATTGCTTACACAAGACTGTCGAAAATAGCCACCACTCCCTGTCGGATCAGCATGTTGAACCTTGAGGACAAGGACATGGAGTCATGCGTGTCATCATTCGTTATGGGCAGGATGGAACGAAGCTCCCATCTTCTCGAGATGGTCTCAAAGGCCTTTGAAGGCATGATCGTCCCAGTAAAGATGGGACATCTTCTGGTCCGGAAGACTGCTGCTTTTCGATGGAGTGTTGAGCATGCTGTGGCAGGGTGGACGGGTGGTGAGTGAATTCGAAACAGTCCTCAAAGCTGAAGGATGCTTTCATCATGCTGACCTACTCGATGCAAATAGGTCTTCTAGTATCAAAATGGGCCCAGTCCATAGAACAGGATAAGATGGCTGGGGTGCAACCAAGTCAGAGCGAGCTGGAGCTATTAACTTTGATCAGAGAGACGCTAGATGAGGCTGAGTGCGATATCGGGGAGGGCAAGACACTTGCTGCCGGAATCGCCAGGACGTGGGGCTGGTTTCTACAAGATGTAAGTGACGGGGTTTTGTTCTCATGTGTCGTTTCAAACTGATATACTGATTACTCCCTAGGTCTGGGTGTGGGGCATAACGCCACGGATGGGAGGAATACTGAACCAACTAGCTGACGCGTATCAAGACGCATATGATGCCAACTGCCGCAGCTCTACCGGCGTGACGAACAACGCGGAAAATACCAGTGGAAGGATACATCAAATCTCATTGTTGCAAAACGTGTATTGTTAGTGGTTCACTATGTCAAGCGCTGTAATGACAACTCAGGAACCATATGTATTAAACTCATTTCTCTCCATCTAGAAATCTAGATACAGAAATTCTCCACATGTCTCAATCTGCATTGTCATGGTTCCAAGTTTTTTGAAAGGGGCAAAAAGTCGAGCCGTAGGTTAAACACATCCTCCTACATGTACTTACTTCAAGTACGTTGGCATCAGGAAGTGTGGCGTCCTCGTGTGGAGATTCGATGGGTCAAGGACGGGCAGCATATGACAGGCTGGTCGGGGTTTAAAAGAGCGAGTCGAAGAGAATACTTTGTATCTAGATGCAATTCCAGGAGCTTTGATACAGATCAGTCGCGGAAGTCCTGAGTCCTAAGTAAGTCCTGATCTTTGACAAGGAGGCGTAGAACAGGGTCACATAGCTACCCCGCAAGTACCTGTCTATCGCCGCCTGGATTGTCGGCACCCACACGTCTTGCCCACACCCTTCACCTGCCGGCCCCATCTCGAAACACGCAAGAAATTTTAAATCAACATGTCCAAGTTCAATGGAATGGCGGCTGCCCTTGCAGATCTGGAGTCGAAAGCACGAGGAGAGGTCCAAGTCTCCGCTCTCAGGGGGGGCGAATTCACACTCCCCAAGCGGTTCTTCGTCGCGGGGGTGTCTGAGGACGAGACCACGTTCGTGCCATCACTCTCTTTCCTCATCTCGCAGAATCTAATCGAAGGGGGTCAACGACGCATCCTTTTTGATCTGGGCTTGAGACGGGATATCGAACGCTATTCTACGCCTATACAAAACCACACAAAGAATCGTCAGCCGATGACCTTACTACCGGACGTTCGACAGAGCCTGGTCGATGGAGGTCTTGATGTGGCAGCTATCGACGAAGTCATACTCAGCCATGTTCACTGGGACCATATTGGGACTCCTTCCGACTTTCCCAACGCTCGCTTTCGAGTTGGTCAAGGATCGCTCGAACTGCTCAGCCGGGGGATGAATAGGCATATGTCTCATTCCAATTTCCAGTCCGATCTTTTCGACGGCCTCAAGGTTGAAGAGATCACGGGCCCTGGGGATCATGTAGACGCAGCAGGGTTCACGAAACTTTGGAAGGATTTGGAGGGATTGAGAATACTGGATATTGGGGGAAGCGACGATGGTTCCTTGTATGCTGTCGATTTGCCAGGCCACGTGCCTGGACATCTTGGACTTCTCGCAAG